AGAAAAATAGAGCGAAAAACGCTCTATCTTTTCATAAAAAAAGAAAAATTTTCAACCTTTCTATAAGGAAATTTGATAATGGCGACACTACTTTTGGTATGCCCTAAGTATCAACCCTAGAGAAAGTACTGAGTTCAGGGTACCCATGTACTGAGAAAGCTCTAGCAGGGTACCCAATATGGGTACTTTAAAAATTCTCAGTAATTTTACTGATGTATGTACTGTTTGGGGTACCCGTAAAAGTACATTCACTGAATAAGTACCTGCATGGATACACAAGTCTGTAACTTTACTGAGGAAATCTCAACAGGGTATCCTAATTTTTTCGCGTTCTGTGTGGCGACTATTCATTCACCGTTTTCTTTTTTACGTACGGCTCTATATAAACAACTTGATAAATCATAAGAAAATAATCAATTTTCATACTAGTTTTTTCTAAATTATTTCTTGACTATTTCTTAGTCGAGGAAATGCCGAGCTTGGTCGTAAATTAAGATCGGACTACCCTGAAGTGGTCTACGACCAACTCAAGTTGAGTCGGATCCCGACATTGTTCCTGCAAAGTTTTTGGAATTGAAAAAATTAAATTGAATAAAGTAAAAAAAATCTAGTAAATTATCTCAAGAAAAAGAAAAAATTTTAAAAAGTCAAAGATCAGGTTCGATCCTGAACATACTGAAAATTTGGTAACAGGGTACTTAGAAATACTATACAATGGTACCCAATTCAGTACTTGATCAGTACCTTTAGGTACCCAATTACTGTGCATTTTCCAGCAGGGTACTTGCCAAAGTACCACTTAGGTACATGTAAGTACCTGCAAGTACTTTGGTACCCAAAAGTTCCTGTGACATACTGGTATCAGAGTACTTTTTTGGGTACCCTTAACTCAGTATATTCTCTAGGGAATTAGAACAAAACTACGTGATTCTACATCTTATCACGAATATTGTTTGATGTATATATAATCTATTCATTTTCGTTACAATCATAATTATATGAGTTTCGCTTGTTGTTTCTCTCTGAGTATAATGGAAACTAACGTTTGAAATATTGATTGTCGAGTTGACTAATATTAAAGTTAGAAGAATGGAGTGTCATAAGTTTAATTACACATTTTGGTTAGACAAGCACTTGACATGTTTGGTATCTACGGAGAAAAAACATATACTAAAGTAAAATCAACGATCATTCATTCAAAATGTGATTTATTTCTTTACATAATATCTAACATTTTATTGTGATCGAGAGAAAGCGTTGATTACGCGATCACTCATCTTACGTCCTCTCTCATGCGATTGTTGGTAACATTTTCTGCTCGTCTTTGACCACTAGATTATGGAAAAGTTGCATATTAAAAAGACTCATTGCTTCTTGTCATATGCATTGACTATGGATGATATGGTCAATCGCATTTTATTGTGCTAACTGGTCTAGGAAATTCTATCCTTTCACGCTGATATTAGTGTACTTTAAACGACCAGGTCTGCAAACCATTAGTCTGTTGAATTCTAACTAGTATAGTATGGTCTGTGTTTACGACTCAGCCAGATAAATTCTACTTTTTTCTTATAAATCTTACGTTATGATTACCTATTTACAGACCAGAACACATTGCTCTTATATTCAAATCTGTCATTCTTCAATATGCTGGTTATTTCAAAGAAATAGTCTTCTCAGTGATTGATGATCATAATACTGGTCAACATTTGAATCCAAATGGCAATTTTCTTCCATTCCAGCAAGTTCTGGATAAGTATGTTGCATATCCACCTACTGTTCAAGCCATTGGAATGTCGCTAGGACCATGTCGTTTGATTCGATCAAAAGTAAATAGCAATAGCATTGCAGTCAACGAATTTATTGTACGCGACATAGAACCTTGTGAACATGCTGCATATTGTGAAAATTTAAACGATCAAAATCACTGTCATTCATATTATCACCCTCCATTATGTCCATCTAGTTCTGAATGTACTGAAAACAATGATGATGTACATTGTCAAATGTTCGTTCATCGAAAAAACTGTCGTGATGGTGGTCGATGTGCCCTTACTGATGCTCGTCACTTAGCCAATTTTGATCATCCTGATTATTGTTCTGATGGTGGTCATTGTACTAATATGAGAACTGATCATTTAAATCTTTATCGACATGTACCAATATGTGAAAATGGTATTGATTGTGATCTTAAATATAGACGAGTAGCTGAACATCTCACTAAATTTCGTCATTGTCAACGTCCATGTGAATTTGGTGGTAATTGTATCCGTTATCATGATCAAAAACACATTACTAATGAACAACATCCATTTAATTTACCTTGTCCTTATACACCATTTTCATGTAAGATGTTTGCTAAATTGTTACAACCAAGTAATGAACAAAACAGCTCACCAAATGCAAATGAAATGAATGAAATAAAAAGACATTGTTATCGTTATTCACATGTATGTCCTTGGGGTCGTTTATGTAATGATCAAAGTGAAGAACATTTGTCAACGACAATCCATATAGCTAGAGAGATGTGTCCAAGTGGAAGCAGTCCATGTACTCAAATGATGAAAGAAGATCATCTTGATTCATTTAGTCATGCTAATGTACGAGATATTCGTTTGTTATGTCGCTATCCAGGTTCTGAATGTCGTGATCGTTCAAAACCTGATCATATCATCAAATATCGACATAATTACACGTTAGATTATTTAGGTGTAGCACAATATTTTGCATTAAACAAGCGAATTAATTTTATTCAAAATCAAACTGAAATGATTCAAATGATTCGTAATTATGTTGAAAGAGTCTACGGAATGGCATGGAAAAATATATCTGTTTCTCAAGATTTATTAAAATGGATTGATGCTGTTCTACCAGTTCATCGATGTGTAGCACCTATTTTTGAATCAATTCTTGTACATGGTCATGTTATGAGTCGTTCTCATATGGAAAGATTAAAAGACCCAACATTTGTTGTTGATACAGTCTATCAACACAAACGCGTGCGAAAAATACTCATCAGATATGGACCGGCTTTTCAAAATGATGTTCGCGAATTTATTGAAGCACTCGTTTGCATGGAATTTAAAAAAGTCAAAAACAATAATCTACTTGAAGAAATTGAAGGAAACAGTAGTCAAGGATTTGAATACCGTATTCATTCAAAAGAACAAGTCTTGATACGTAATCTTAACAAATCCGACATAGATGAAATTCGTCTTTGTACTAAGCAAATCACTCAAGCGTCGATTCAACTACATAATAATATGACAGGGATTGGTCACGAGGGTGATCTTGAGTTTGGTACTAATCAGCAAGTATTTAGTATTCTTGGTCCCAATACAGCTTCATACTATGGTGATATTGTTATTGTTTTCAAACGGGATATTATGTTACATCCTGACTCAAATTTTACCATGCAAGCAGCTACTATGTATAAAGAAAAAACTTATAACTGTCGTCCTTGGATCAAAAATCCCGGTTCATTCAGTGGTTATATAAAACGATTTCATTCAACAAAACTTCATTGTTCAATACCTGGATATGATTATATTACTGCTTTAGAACTTAAGGCTATTATTGGATTAAAACATCAGACAATGGATGTCGATCTTAGTAATATTATAGATCGGTATAAGTGTGTTGATGCACATCAGGTAATCGAAGCACATTTACCACAGTTAATACCTTTAAGTTATATTGATCATATAATTATGCCAAAAAATGTTTTTGAGTCACTTTCACCAGAAGCTCAAAAGAATGCTCGAGAATTATTTCCACATAATCTAACAATAACAAAACATATAGTAAATCTTAGCATCGACGTAAGAACACTTAGTAATCCTGACACTTCCCGAAAGGATTATGCAAATTATGTATTTGATCAAGTGCTAAGCTTAATTAAAAGACAACAAGAACAACAGTCAATTATGTCAAACTCTCGATTATTATCTTCATATGGAATGACAATAACTATACCAGCAAAAAATTTCGAAACTTATATTGCATATCCATTAACAATTACTCAATCGTATCAACAGTATTTATCTCAATCTAATAGAACCACCACATCTGATGGATGTATCTATATATATTGGAAAGCAATACGAGGTGACTTTATGTTAATATTAACAAATCAAATGATTGAATCCGGAACAGTTCAACATAATCTTATCTATCTCACATGTTATATTGCTCCGTTTGTTACTAATACTAATAGTGATCCAAACTACAATGAACATTATTCATATATAAATCATTGGCCACCATCATCACATCAAACTGTTCTTGAGCAGCAGAATTTTAAAGCTGGATCAAATATATTTCATAAAGGTTGTAATCCAGATGATTATGTTTTCTATTGTTTAAAATTAAATCCTCAAACAGGACAAGTATCATTAATGAATGTGGGTGTGAATGGTATTTATAATCATACAATATTAAAATGTACATTTGAAAAAAAAGATTTAGATTTATCATTACTTGATTATATTCATGTAAGTGCAGGACGTCAAAGTGTTTCAATACGTAATTTAGTTATAAGTCACGAAATGATTACGGAAGCTCATCCAAAATTTGACAAACAGTTCGTCAGTCATAACCATAATACTCATTCTAAAAGCGGGACATCCAGTTCAAAACATAAAGAAAGTTTACCAGACGAAGTTGGAAACAATAATGACGGTACCAATCAATCATTTGGTCATCGAGCCTTTGGTATGGTTAAAGGTATATTTGGCTATAAAAAAAAAGAAGAAGATAATGATAAGAATGAACAACAGAAAGATCATCAACAAATTGGGCATCTTACACCATGCAAAAATTCAATTTACTGTCTTGATCAATATTCACTAGAAGAGTCTTTTAGCCATAATCAAACTTATTCACATCCATGTCGTTTCTCAGAACTGTGTCGAAAAAACAACACAAAGCCTCATTGCATTCAATTTACTCATAGTAAACATGATGTTCCCAAATGTCATCACGACACGAATTGCACTCAAGTAAATGATCCAGTTCATCGTTGTTCTTATCGTCATACTGATTTACCTGACTATTTATATCCTTGTCGAGATCAACAAAAATGTCATAATTCAACTTTTGAACATCGAAAGAAATATTTTCATGGTGAACCGATCGACCTACCGTCAAAAAAATCGTCAGCGTAGTCTCTTTGGAACTAAAATATGAAACTCACATAACTTCTTCATCTGCATCATGCTAACACAAAGTAACTGATATTCAAGAATAATCGATCGTTCGAGAAACAATTTGTCTTATTTATTTCTGCATCTCGCACAGAAACTTTTTTATTTTATTTTATTTTCCATCGCTCTATTTTTTATTTGTTTTGTTGCTCTATTCACCCGCTATGCGTTTTCTTTTTTCTATTTTGTTCTTGTTAATTTACTATTTGTTACTATTCTAACTATGATACAATTGACAAAACAACCTATGGTAGACGTCTATTATATTCATAGCAGATCTCAACATGCTATTATGTATCTCAATAAACTCGAAGGTGAATTGAATAAAAATCAGTTCAACGAAATTCAACATAGAATTTTCAACAACTACCACGATGCGTTTCGATCTTGCTCAAAGATCTCATCAGGTGTCGACGGCTGTGGGTGTGAATCTGTTTCTTCTTTTCATTCACACCCATACTCACACCTACACTCGCACCCACACAGTGAGCAGAAAAAGGAGGAAGGACAGGAGCGATCCGTACAATTAATATAATTAATAACTTGATATTTTGTATAATTATGATTCTCACTTGACGCTGATTATCTATGTCTATTTAGCCTCTTCTACTCGTAAAGTTTCTGAAAAATAGTTTTTTTTTTACTGAATTTTTCAACAAAATCCCGTGCACCCTCCTCAGGCTACGTTGAAACTTGAGTTTTTAGTTTTGGCTTGACGGTGTGGGTGTGGGATGGGATGTGGGTGTGATTATGGATGTGAGGTCTGGGGGGTGGGTATGAATGTGGAGATGAGTGTGGGTGTGGGTGTGGGTGTGGGTGTGGGTGTGGGTGTGGGTGTGGATGTGGATGTGGATGTGGGTGTGTCACATGGATTAGAATAGTATTGATGCTTACCCACACCCCCATCAACACTCACACCCACACTCACACCCGCACCCACACCCCACACCCATCCACACCCCACACCCACCCCACACCCACCCACACCCCACACCCACCCCACACCCCACACCTACACCCACCCACACCCACACCCACACCCACACCCACACCCACACCCTGGTTTGGCAACGCGCAATAGAAATCAACATTTTAAATGGTAGATTTCACAGTATAATTTTGATACTCAGATAGTCTAGGATGATTGATTTGTATGATTCACTTTTTGAAGTACACATAACTCTCGGATTTAAATCCAAAGTTTCCGCATTTATTTCTAGATATTTTAGCTGTTTCCAAAAATATATTCAAGGCTCGTTTTTTTGCGATGCATTTCTCATTGAAATAATCTATACAATTACTGAATTATTCATTAGCATTCGCGATTCTTCAGGATGCGGGTATGTGTGTCGTGAATTAGTGAGCCAAAATCTGCCACAGCCACAGTCACAGTCACACTCTACACCCCACATCGACACTCACGGTCACGCTCACCCACATCCCATACTCACCCACTTACCCCGCCCACACCCAACATTCCACGCTTAAATCCACATCCACATCCACATCCACACGTCACACTTATAACCGCACACTTGTATAACATCCATTTGATTAATTATACATGTAAACAGGTAGTTACAAGAAGGAAGTACGTGTATATGGATGTGGATGCGTGTGGCTGCAGCTGTAGCTGTAGGTGTAAGTGTGACTATCTTCTCCTGAATCACATCTACACCTTCTTTCTGATGAGCTTTGCTGCTGAAGCAAGGTCTTGATTATGGTAGTTATTCTCACTCTTATCTCGCTGAAGTCAGAAACATATTGAAGGGTCAAGAAAAATCAGTCTGTGTTCTCCGTGTGTGCTATACCGTTATAAAAGTATCGATGAAGCTGTTTCAGATTACGCCATTTGCACCACCACCAATTCGACTGCAAGAATGCAGGATCGAAATTCAATTTTCGAACCATGACACCAGTTACAACTACACCCTCTTGAGGTTTTAAATATTTTCTGTTCTCCGTTTTGAATAAGAACTCAAGATCTTCATTATTCGGAAAGTGAGTGTCAATATCACCTATAGTGCCAACGCTAAGCGTTTCACGTTTCTTTGACGGTTGCAATTTTCTAACATCAACTCGCACCTCAAGTACAAAATTGGAAGAACGTGCCGTTCCACACCACCATGCGTGCGTACCTTGGATGCGAGGAATAAAGAATACTAGGAGACAGGTATAGCGCTGGAAACCCATGTTGACATTCGCGAACCAAAAATCCGTTTTCGATAATCTTATGAATGTTTTGCGGGTGTGTACCGTGGTACAGTGTATGCCAGTTTGGACCCCAATCGGGAAGGTCTCTGAAATTCACCTGCAAACTGAGGCGGTACCAATTGCTTGGAACAAAGTAGGGAAATCGCTCCGGTGAGGAAGCTAGTCGACCTTCCCAGTATGTGTGCAGTGATGTCCGATTATGCATAGTGCAGCTCTTTGCACAGTACCCACGATTGTACTTTTCATTCCAACGCAGACGTGCAACATACACAAGCGTATCATGATTAATTTCCTCACGTTTGACAGGCACGCAACAGGAGGGCTCAGGTTGAGGTAAGAAAGTAAGAGAAAACGTCTTAGCGCATTCAGAGCAAAAGAAATACAGTTCTTCTGGCGCCATAACTTTCTTGCATTTGCGGCAATGTCGACCATATGCTTCATTATGTTGAACGAGACGCATGAAATCACCAGGTGACCACATTTTTGCCATCTAAAGCTCTTGTTTGATCTACCCAAATAGATATTGCAAACTACCGAACAAAATAAAAGAATCATATTGAAACACGCAATTTCGGGGACAAATGGAACAAGGGTAAATGCTGCTGCTTTTGTGAAAGATAGATACAGCTCTACGCAGCAAACGGAAAAAGGAAAAATAGGGAAGGTATTGGAATGAATGTCAATCCTCAATCATTCTACATGACACCAGCAAAACATAACTTCTGAGATCCTTTTAAGTCGCATTTTAGTCAAAACTTATACCATTGAATAGCTCGTTATTTTTTCTACAAGTCTGAACTATTTTTACGTTGAGAACATCAAAAGAAATCTCACGATTATGACTTATGAAAAGGTCCATAAAGAGAAAGTCACTTCACCTACGGGTGCATGCAAACAGCGAGCACAATTGTGTTGAATCGACTGGATTAAATGTAAAATTCCAGTCAGGTTTACTGAAACTAGTAAAACCTAATTCATAAGGGATTGTTCAACTATTACGAGTATCTACCCTCAACGAAAAGTGTTCGTTTGGCTAACATCTACATAACGACCTAAATTTTTCGCCTCTTTCACTAGCAAAATGCATAGTAACGGGTGAGGCACAATGAACGACCGGATTTTGTTTTTTATCTTTGGGATAGTGCAAAATCTTTTTGAAATACGGTTCATAGCTCATTCGATAAAGAATTTTTTGCTTTGCAAACATGTCAACCACTTTTTCAAATAAGATTTTCTTGCCAGTGAAAGATTCACAACATTAATACCTAATTAATTTTCCACTTGTGACTGTGCAAAAAACGATAAAACGATGAATATTTTAGACATAGGTTCAGCTGAAAATTGAACTATACCATAGAGTTCTGCATCTTTGGGTGTATGTTTCAGAATTTTAGGAAAAATATTTAAGAGAAAAAATTTTGAAATTAACAACTCGAAAATGTCAAAAAAAGGACATTCTCGGGCAGAGAGATGCTACAATTTTTTTACTTCGACACAGTCTAATTCATTCTATTGGATGTAGGTCTTCTATTCTCTCCCATCGAATCATCCACACCTACACCAAACCGATAAATGAGCCAGTAACCTAGAGTGAACACTCGTTTTTAACATCATTCAGACAACTCTGCACTGATAGAAGTGGGTGGGTGCGGGTGTGAGGTGTGAGTGTGGGGTGTGGGTGTGGGTGTGGATGTGGGTGTGGGTGTGGGTGTGGATGTGGGTGTGGGTGTGGATGTGGGTGTGGGTGTGGATGTGGGTGTGGGTGTGTTCTCAATCAATCCACACCCACACCTACCCACACCCCCACCTCACACTCACACCCTCAACAATCCAGGTGCATGTATAACAATACACTGTGACAAAGATCAAATGAAACAAATTAGCAGTTGCCGATAAAAATACGTTTTGTGTCTGTAAATAATCAGTATCCTCTACAATCTTTGCATTGGTTGATTAATTGTGAAACATTGCTCTCATATTCTGAATGATTTGTTTAGTACGAATAATTGATGGATATTGTATCATATCATTGACATTGTATGCTAAAGCTTAAAGCTCATCATGATGGCTGTCAGCTGCATCTAGTAAAGAAGGTTCGTTATTATCTGAAATACATTCAAAAATCGCTAAACAGTATTTGGATACCATGCTGGAAAATGAATAATGCTACCTTGTCGATTCAATAATGGTTTTTCATAAGCATAATCTGCAGCATCACTGGGGTTATTCGATTGTTTACTCGCCATAACAAGACAGTCTACTAACATGTAAACAATTGTCTTACAAAATGCTCTCATTACAATATCGTACTTTTTTATTCAAACAAATGTATATAGTTGCTGACGAATAAAATCACGACCGTAAAGTGTTAACTGACAATTGGATAGTAATACTGAGCCCTATTCAAATCGAACTATATAATCTTTATACTGCGTATTATATAATCGTCAGAGATCATCGCGAAACCACTGTTCATCATCAGCACTTGGTAAAAGTTTTAAATGAGTTCTCACTGTTGACGAAAGTCCAGTTTTAAAGGAAAGTGTATCATGGCGACTACAATATAATAATTGATATTCGATGAGAGCATTAAGAACATTGTCCACTAACGTGCGTTTATCACAAAAGTGACAGTCAGTAACACAGGTTTTGAAAAAAAAAAGATATTATAAATTCACCATGAATTTTTCTATTTGCACTTCAGATTGTTGTCGTTTTGTCATTTTTACTTTTCCCACATTGATCCT